CCCCTGTGGAGGAGTGAGGAGAGGTTGAAAAGGATAGTTCATTTTGGGTAACTCACCCAACGGTGGAAAAATATCAATTAGCATACAATGAGAAATATTAATAGGTGGGATATTGGGATGTACTGACCTACAGTGACCCCCAAAATGTATTTGGACACTTAAAAATGTACGAATGTGTGCATTATATAACAAAATATCAGTCCTGCTAGGAAATATATAATACATCCAGTAAAATGACCTTGAGACTGGTAGTTTAATCAATAAATGGGGAAAAAGGCGAAGAAAAGTTAGGTTAGAGAAAAGTATAGCATTATTTATTTGCAGATGCCATTCGGTTTGATATTTTATATTTGATGCAACAAGATTGTCATTTCTTGGCATCTTCGCTGTCATGCTTAAAAATGATCACATTTTCCAAATAGGCCTAATTAATTCCAATCTAAATTTGATTCTTTAGCAATATACATATACACACTTTATTTTAACGTGATGTAGTTACATGAACTTACTATAAACAATAACAGTAATTATAAGCAACTAACTTTAAACCAAACAACCTTAACTCCATAGCAAGTTTAAATTAATATGACTCAGTAATAGTAATAATAACTCAGTAAATGTGTAATTATACTGTAACATCACCTTAAAATAAAGTGTACCCTTCAATTTTCCTTGCAACAAATTATTCATCCAATATAGCCGTTAAAAACCCATCTAGCTACATTTCAGAATAAATAAAGTAATTATTGCTACAAAAGTCAGTTTCATTCTTCTATAAACGTTGGCTGGAAACATTTCAGCATTCATTTTAGCCGTTTCCCCATTTGTCAGATTTTCCCATGAAAGCTGTGTGTCAGGTCAGCGTGATTGTTGAATCCGCTCTCTGCCATAAGAACATGGAAGATCTGCAAGTGTAGTCATATCCTCCTGTTTTAAAAGAAAAGACCTGATATTATGTAACATCCAGCTACATCAGCTAGTCATGCAGTTGAAAGGTGACTGGTTTACACAAGGACAGCCTGCAGTGCCACAGTGGTGAAAGAGTAGGTCATTTTATATTCTTTTTCTTCCTTTTCTATGAGCAAACTCTGAAATTTAGACTTGTGACAGAAGGCACAGTGAGTTTCACAGCTTTCAACTGACAGATAAGGCAGATGCCGAGTGGCTGGTGCTCACTGGAATTAATTCCCTCTGTCTAACTGAAGGTTCACTCAAATCAAATTCTTTTTGAACATGAACGGAGGAGACATATAGATAGTAAGCTGTCAAGGTGAGGAGGGTAGAGCTGTTCCTCCAATGCATTTTCCTGCCTGAAGAGATCATTCTCTCTCTCTTTCTCCGTCTCACTGTTCTTCTGCTGCCCTCAGAGGCAGAAAGGTATTTGATAAATTACAGCACCACAAACATCCTCAGCCTACCTAGTTACGTAAGCCAACAATATTTAGAATGGTCTCTGAACATAGAGATTAAGTAATATTTTGCAGCAATACAGAGAGCAATAAAACTAGCAGCAAATCTGAGGTTAAAACTGAACAGAGAATCAAAACCATTTATATAATTAATGCAAGGTCTTAATGCGAACAATTCATTGGCACAAGGGCAAGACAAGAGTTTAAATAAAAATCTCAATCTTCTGAAATGACATTTTTTCACAGATGCCACACCACTGTAAAAAAAACTAATTTTTTTTAAGTTGTAAACGAAACTACTGTTTTAGTCTTTCTACTTCAAAATTTCATGTTTAATTCAGTATGTTATCTGCCTTTCTTTGTAACTAAGATTTATTAGCAATTTCTGGGTTGAAATTGTTTCTACACCATTTTTTTCAGCGCATGATTTTTTCAAAGTTGTAAATATAACAGATTTTTGTAGTATGTTTCACAAGAAAATACTATTTTAGTGTATCTACTTCAAAATTGTATTTTTACTTCAATGTTTTTGTTGCCATTTCTTTGTAATTGTTTTGGAATTTTACTAGCAATATTTCAGTAAAAGTTGGTTCAATTTTTTTTCAGTGCAGCATCTGATAATGGATAACCAAATGCCAAAATTAAGGCATGGTTTTTTAGCAAACTCGCACTGTATTGTTTTCATAATCTAACCAATTGCCCATTTTTAAAAAATGATTCCCAACTTGATTTGTTTGGTTCACAGAGAAATTCCAGTCTTATTTTTACAGAGGTAAAAAGTATTTCAAATTACACTTAACAGAAAGATTTTGTGTATAATAAATGTTAATTGGGTTTAATAAAAGATGGGTCTTGCAAAATGATTAAGGAAAATAATTTATTGTGTGTACCATGCATATGTATATCTTAGCTCCATTTCCTCGTCTTAATGTACTGCATCAAACAACTAAGCTGCATGGGGCTGCGTTTTTTTATGACTAGGGCTATGCCACCTTGCACAGCAATCAGGATTAAGTGTGACGATATTGCAGTAAAAGTTGGTTCAATTTTTTTTCAGTGCAGCATCTGACAATGGATAACCAAATGCCAAAATTAAGGCATGGTTTTTTAGCAAACTCGCACTGTATTGTGTTTTAATAATCTAACCAATTGCCCATTTTTAAAAAATGATTCCCAACTTGATTTGTTTGGTTCACAGAGAAATTCCAGTCTTATTTTTACAGAGGTAAAAAGTATTTCAAATTACACTTAACAGAAAGATTTTGTGTATAATAAATGTTAATTGGGTTTAATAAAAGATGGGTCTTGCAAAATGATTAAGGAAAATAATTTATTGTGTGTACCATGCATATGTATATCTTAGCTCCATTTCCTCGTCTTAATGTACTGCATCAAACAACTAAGCTGCATGGGGCTGCGTTTTTTTATGACTAGGGCTATGCCACCTTGCACAGCAATCAGGATTAAGTGTGACGATATTTCATCCTGTCAAGCTGAGCATAGCATCATGCACCTCTTCTCTCCCATGCACAGCATTGAGGAACCATAAACCACAGCATTGGCCCATGGAGGAACCATAAAAAAACAGTACCATGGCATGGGGAAACAAAAAAAGATGTGCTTTGCCTGCTACATAAAGATCTATCCTGTATAACGGAAAAAAACTTGCACTCAATATTCAATTCTTCATTTGAATATTGGCAAGCCAGACAGTTGGAAGAGTACCTACAGCTATTATGAGTATTTAGTCAAGGTTACCTAGCCTTGAAGAGAACTGTATTTCACTTTAATGGCTTTTTTAATGGTCATTATGAGATTCTGACAGCCACTATAAAAATGAACTCTTCCAGAGAGATCAAGCTCTCGATAGATCAAGTTTAATTTCGGAAGTCAGGTGATTCAGATTAAACACTAATATTGGGCCTGGACAAGAAACAAAAAAAGATGTGCTTTGCCTGCTACATAAAGATCTATCCTGTATAACGGAAAAAAAACTTGCACTCAATATTCAATTCTTCATTTGAATATTGGCAAGCCAGACAGTTGGAAGAGTACCTACAGCTATTATGAGTATTTAGTCAAGGTTACCTAGCCTTGAAGAGAACTGTATTTCACTTTAATGGCTTTTTTCTCATTTGGTCATTATGAGATTCTGCCACTATAAAAATGAACTCTTCCAGAGAGATCAAGCTCTCGATAGATCAAGTTTAATTTCGGAAGTCAGGTGATTCAGATTAAACACTAATATTGGGCCTGGACAAAAAACTTAATGTACTATTATAAACAGGTATGCAAAAGCCTAAATTAGTCATGAAGCAATGCAGGTAATAGATAGTGATGCATAGGATCAAACCAAAGTATTGACTACATTTCTGACAAACCGACAGGTACCGTATCTCTGGATACTTTCTGAAGGATTACCTAGTGTCAAACTAAAAGCTAAAATCAAATATACACTGAAAAAAAAAAAATTTAATATATCAATTAGAACAATGCATTTTACATTTGTGAAAGTTATTATTCATAATCACAAAACACGGTCAACATTTCATTCCCAAAAATATATCAATGCAGGACAGCACAGACCTACTGCAAGATGAAAATTCTGCAAAGAAAAAGAAGTATCGTTTCAAGTTCCTTGCTTAAAAAGACATTTCAAGCATTCAGATCTTGTTCAGATCCCTGTCCTCATTGTCCAGGTGGTAAAGTGGAAATGACACGGCTTAGGAGTGAGAGGGATTACGCTGTCCAAAGGCAGAAAACGCATCAGTTCAAAGCTTGCCAGGAGGTAGACCACTAAGGATTCTAAGTCCAGTTGATGTTCTATTAAAGAAGAGTCCTTATCCATTTTATAAAAATGAGAAACAATAAAAATGTTTGTGTAATGCTTGGTTACCAAAGAAACTGAGTGCTTGTGGTGGCATCATGGCAATAACGGCTAATTATACTAATAATGCGACATTAACTAGGTCTTATTAGACTGGAAGCAAATTTCTGAGGTTGCCGCAGGCTATGACTAACGTGCTTATAATATACCAGTGAAAATTAATGCGGTTTTCATACAGTTTTCAAGCAGGTGTTATCACATATTGTAAAACCACCTCAAACTCTGAGATATCCATAAAAGGCAAAGTAGCCTAAATAAAGTGCTTTTCTTCAGAAACAAGTAACCTGATTGACCAGATCACTAAATGTAAGCAAACGATTACATAATTTGGGTTGTAATAATGGCACTTACAACAATTAATTCATTTTCATGCAAGTGCAGAACAGAGTTTGTCATTCCCGGTTGCAGTTTTAGTGTAATTTTAATGGCCAGCAGCCCTGCTGTAGATTCTGTAGATTACAAAAGGTACAGAGAAAAGAAAAGAAGAAAAAAATGGCTTACAGTTTTGGCTGGTTTAGGTGAAGGTCGAATACCTTTTACATCCAGCAAACTTTTTTCTCCTGCTCACTCTGACTGTATCAAACAGCTTGATTCATTTACTATGACAAAATAAACAAAAACATCAACAATAAAGTAAAAACAAAAAAGCCTCTCAGATGAGAGCCTCAGTATGATAAACATTCCCTGTGAAGGATTACATTTACTTAGGCCATAATCTTTATTGTAGTGTATAGTTCTTCTGTAGGGTCCTCATGGCCATTTTCCTCCTCTTCTACCTTTTTAGTGTCACTGTTGCGCTCCTCCGAAGAATCCTCAGAGGTAGCTCCAGCAATTGAGGAAAGAACAGCATCTTTCTCCACATTTGCGTATGCAGGATCCGTGTAATTCTGAGGTCTGAGCTTCCCGTTTTCAATGGCAGTGTGAGTGCAACTCTGACTTGGATGTAGGTCACTTTGATGTTGCTGGAGATTGCAGAGGAAAGCAAACTCCTTTGAGCAAATGGAGCAAATATAAATTCTTCCTACCCCATGGAGAGAGGAGCGGTGCTCGAGGAGCGCAGTGGCGTTACCAAATAACTGCACGCAAAACTCGCACTTAAAAGGCCACTCTGACGCATGCTCTATTATATGGCCACTAAGGTCTTTGATGGAGCGAAATGGCTCTTTGCAGACGTTACACACAAAACTCTTAACAAAAGTCTCCCGCTCTGGTGTCTCAAACTCATCAGAACTTCTGGGTGGAGTTCCAGGTGAAGCGTTACCCCCATTTGCAGTTATATCAACCGCCCCCTCTTTTTTCACTATAGCCTCTACAACCAACTTATCAACCAATGAACTTTTCTGCGGAGAATGCAATTCTCTGAGGAAGGTCGGTGAGGAGGACTCCTTTTCAGGAGTTGATTGTACTGTAGAAAGCGGAGACTTTGATTTGTGTCGGCCTTCTGTTTTATTATTGAGGTCTTGAGGGAAAGTTCCTTCACAGGAATGGCTTTGGCTGGTTTCAGAAGCAGTATCCCACTTTCGGTGAGAAGAACCTGCTTGCTCGGCATTTCTTAAAAACTGAGGCTTAGAATCATGGGTTGAGCCCTCATTTAGTGTTTCTGACTTTAAAGATGAATCTGCTGTACAATGTCTTTTTGCATCCTGAGGCAGTGGAGAAATCGCAGGGTCTAACTGCTCAGCAGCTTGGTCTGATTCATTAACAATGGAATTTAATGTATCATGGCATGATTCTGTTAAAGCAGATGAATTCGACACTTCCTCTAAACTATCACCTGCCTTAGGGGGCATTTTAGGGGACAACACAGGAAAAGAGGCAGGTGAAGAGGCATCTGACATCCGAAGATAAGGTGATGATAAATGTGGAGGTGATGGGATAGTGGGTAAGACTGGAGGAGGGGGTGTAGATGATGCTATACTAGATGAAGACGGAGAGGATGGATTAATAGTCATAGGGGTCAGAGAAGGAGGAGAGGCTGATTCACAAGGAAGGCGCTCTGATCCTGATCCGGGACTAGAGGGGCCAATACATGTGGCACTCTCAGAAGATGAAAGAACGTCAGGGCTTCCAAGAGTATTGGATCCTTCATCTCCAGGTGAGTTTAGGCCAGCATACTCGTTCATTAAGACTTTCTCTAAAATGCTGGTATTGGGTTTCTTTCTTTTCACATGTGGCATTAGTGTGGCTGAACTTTTCTTTACTTCATGGTCGACGGGACTTTTACGGTTCATACTTAAGTCAAGCACAGCCTCTCCAGAGCCTTTGCTTACACTATTGTCTTTTTTACTGAAGGAATTCGAAAGGTCAAGCGGCTGCTGATTGCAAGAATTCCCCCCACTTCTTGAAGGAGACCAGTCTTTTCCTGTAAGGCTCACAGCATCCCCATGATCTTTGCTGGACAAACTCCAGGAATGTGTCATGCAATGGCTTTCAATCTTTGGCACCTTCAGAGAGCATGAAACCCCAGTTGCAGAGCTTATGCTGTCATTTATTTGTGGCGGGCTACTCTGTGAAGTTGTGGGAGGGGAGGCAGTTCTTCTTTTAAACTTTCCTTGGACAGCAGGCAGTGAAGTTACGGAAAGCGGGGTGGTCAATCTATGGCTATCTGTAATTAGACCTATGGCTGGTTTCTGACCATCCGGGGCCTGTAGTAATTGTTTGAGTTTTGGAGAGAGATAAACCGTTTTCTCCTTCTGAACAGCTAACGTTTCATTTGACTGGGAGAAAATGTTTCCTACCAACAAAGAGGACTGAGAGGAAGGGGAGGACAGGGAGGAAGAGGAGGACACCATTTCTGTTTCCATTTTCACAACAGGCAGCAGTGGTGGTGTAGCAGTTCGTCTTTTAGAAGCTGTCTGAGCTACGCATGAAACTTCTTTCACTGGACAAGTCTGTGTTTCAACTTTAAGAGCATGAGTAACTTGTTTAGGACTTAGAATGAGAGCATCAAGGCCAAACAACGCTGCAGTGCTTGAATCAACCTCAATGAACTCACAGTTGCTCACTGTGCTTGTAGATGGGATCTTTCCATCAATGTAATGGCTGAGATTTTCAGAAATGTTGTTAGAGATATCAACCATACACTCCTCTCTCTCTCCTTCATCCTCAGTCTCCACACTGGGCACATAAATTGGTGGTGGACTGGCACTTGGTGACTCTTCCTGGAGCGAAAAAGGCTGCCCTTGTTCATGCTGCTGCTGATGGGAGGAGCCATCTTGCAGGAACATACCTTTCCGTCGAACACCTTTTGGCATTAGATGCCGCTCATGGATTCTGCGCTGGTGCCTGCGCATGTTGGTGTGTGTGCCGAAAGCCTTGTTACAGTACTTGCAAGGATGAAGCTCTTTTGACTCCCCATTCTCATTCAATATAAAAGGTCGGTCAGATTCAGCACCAGGCTCTTTTTTCAAACTGTCAGAGGTTTGCTGAGGTGGACGGTTCTGTGTGTTCATAATGACTGAATGGCTTGGAGAGGATGCACTGCCAGAGGTAGCAGAATCATTGGGTGCTGTGGGACTGTGGAGGAACGTTGTTCCGCTAAGTGATCCGGGCCTATTTAAAGTTTTACTCCCATTTTCATGTCTACGTTCATGTCTGCGCCTGCCTACCTGAGAGCCAAAGGGCTTGGCACAGTACCGGCATTTAAAAGTATGAGTTTGATGGTTTGAAGTAGTGTGAATGTGAGTGTGGCGTTCCAGGCCTTGTTTGGTGGAGAAATGTCGCTCGCAATGCTGACAGGGGTACGTTCCTCCTTGGGGGTCATCCTCAAAATCCCCCTCGGCCTCCAACTCAGGATTCGCTAAAGATATATACTCTGTATCACACAGCGGACTCTCAGAGCTTTCTTCTGCAGGGCTGCCTGAGCATAAATGCAGGAGAGACTTTTCATTCCCATCAACTGATTCTACCTTAGAGGGATGCTGTGGGCTTTGATTTAACTGTGGTTGCTGAAGTTGTCCTTCATTCTCTGCATTTTCCTCATCCAATCCTTCCCTCTGGTTCATGTCTGTTGTATGAGACTGGACAGGGTTTTCATTTTCCGTAGAAGACGACTGGGAAGCTGCATTCTCCTGTTGCAACTCTGAAGGTGAAGGGGGTCTTTCCTCACCATTAATCCCTGAATTACAAGAAAAATATATATTTAAAAACTAAAAATCACTAGTGAAGTTGAAAATCATTCATCTGAAGGCATAATTCTGTTACACTAACACTACAACTATGGCTGGAACTAATCCATAAAACTGGTAGAGAAATAATTCTAAACTAATTTCATTTTTGTTTAGTCAGATTTGTGTGCTGTGCATAAAAACCTCCACAAATGATGTCTTTACAGAACTGAAAAATGCATTTTGATAGACAAAACAAATCAAAAAAATAATTGAGATCATAGTGCAGGAAGTGCATACCCTAAGCTGTTTCAAACTTGAGAATGGTTTATATTAAGTGTTTCAAACAAATCCATAAGCATACAGGTTAACGTGGTTTTCCATATCATGTGCTTGAACAGATATGTGCATTTTTTATTTAGCACATAACTTTCATTTTATGGTTCTATCCTTATCTATAAATTGTAGAAATTTAGAGAAACAAATCAATTTGCACATTGTTTGAAGAATAACCTTGGGCAGGATGTAGAATAACATGTTTTTTTTTCATTCAAACACAGAATAATACATGAAATTTGGCTTTTTAAAAAATAATTAAATCAAAGAAATAAGTGACATGTACTGATTATCAAAATAATTGATGGTTGCAGTCCTACTGTTAACAAGGTTTGGGTACTGAAACCCGGTGCCATACCTATGTAACCAGTATGTACTAGAACCGAATCAGAACGCAGATTTCGGTGCCACTTAAATGCTTGAGCATTCGATTGAAATATTTGTTCTTTGGTTCTCCGAAACGGATGTAAGGATCACCGGCACCGCACATGAAAAATTATTTCCCGACTGAGAATATTCACGAACGTTTTTACTCCACAACTGCTTCCTTTTGTGATCTGATGTGGCTTCTTTTCACAGTATGAATTAAACAGACATTAAGGTCCAATCCTATTTCTACCCCTTAGCTCTTCCCCTTTCCCACGTGAAGGAGTAGGGGTGTCTCGATTCTCTTTTGGTTGGAGGGGTAGGGGTAAGGGGAAAGGCCAGATAGCCCTTCAAACTAAGATTTTTCAGGACCACACTTCAAACAATGAATTATCTCAGCATAAACCATCTACAGTGGCAACATGGCTGCCAGAGCGAACAAAGACACATAAATGTAAGCATTATTGGCATTAATAAAGATTTTAATGAAAAGTAATCATTTGTTTTATGTTACATTCAATCGTGTGTTCATATTTATGGTCATGTTATTCAAAGAAACGTTTGCAAAAAATCGCTAAAGTTTGCTAATGTCATATCATTACTGACTGCACGATAGTACCACAACATATTTTCATGTCTGATCTGGGCAATAACCACCATAGACATTGAGGGGGGCTAGCACCCCCAATAATTAGAAATCGCTAAACCTTTTCTCAAATACTGCCAATTCGAGAGAGAAAGAGAGAGAGAGAGAGTTGCGTGTATGCGCGTCTGTGCATCTCTCTTTACAATGAGTTTACTTCAAAAACAGCGATTATATCCCCTCGTTGCTGGAAAATATAATGTAGCGAGTATTTAAACTGTTATTTAAAAAAGTCTCAAGGCAGCATTGACAAGTTTCTTTGCTCCTGGATGTGTGAGCTGCGCAATCTCCGATATAGGTGTGTGTGTGTGTGTCAGTAAGCAGTGCATTAATATAGAACGGTAAGGCTCTAATGCACACCAGTATAGGTGTGTGTATTGTAGGAGGTAGATGACGTATGATGACGTGTAACGGTGTAGTAGTGGTGTCCCAATTCTTAGGGGAATATTTTCACCCCTACCCCTTGACACTCTGTTTCAAGGGACATGGAGAAGGGGTATAAAATAGAATTGGAATTGGGCCTAAATGTGTATATAATCGCTCAATGGCCAATCCAACCTATTTTGGGTAAAAAAATTGTATTATTTTTTTTTTTAAGTATCGGTTCAGGCACCGGTACCATTTTAGAAGTATTGATTTGGCACCGGTATCATAGAAAACCCAAACAATACCCAATCCTACTGTTAACCATAACAAAAATATTATAACTGAGCAAAACATACTTGTGAATGGCACAAATCCCTGCCAGGGGCTTATGAAGAGCATAACCTACCTTCCTCTGAGTCCCGCATCTCTGCGATTGAGGGTTCAGAGGCACTCGATTTCTTCGGTTCACAGAATCCACCCAAATCAGCCTGCCTGGCTTTTTCCGACAGTTTCTTCCTTGCTTTAGGGAGAAACAGATCTATTTTTAGTATTAACTTTCAAAACTTACTAAAGCCAGCAAAAAGCTATTAGGTTTAGGTTTCTTATCTTGGCTGTCAAAACCTACAATAATTGAATCCAATGAAATGAAGACATTTCATAGAAGTATATAAATATTTCAAACAAAATAAACTGAACGTTCATAAAAAGTTTATAAATATAAACTTAAAACTGTAAAGCACAAAGTTTTGGAAGAACATCTGGTACATTAACTAGAATAAAGAGCTCCACCTGCAAGATCCAAAACAAAACAAGTATGCCACAGCCTTCTTTTCTAAACGAGCAGCTCACCACAAAACCAGACTGACTACTCCGTAACTGCAGCACAAGCAAAGAAATGCTTGTTTTCACACATTTAATGTCCATAATAAAATCTACACCACCATTATTACATAACTGTAGGGAGCATTAATTGTTACTGAACAGCAGTTGACTATAGTAGATTAAGTTTAAGGGAATAGTTCACCCAAAAAGAAAATGGTCATGCCACATTCCAAACCTGTATGACTGACTTCTATGGAACACAAAAGCTGATGTTCTGAAGAACATAGACTTTCATTACATGAAGGGGGGAAAACACATTGATATATCCTTAAAAGTATATCCTTTTGTGCCTCACAGAAGATAGAAGGTCATACAGGTTTGGAGTGATTTGAGGGTGAGAAAATGACAACAGGCATGTTGTCAAATTACATATGGCTTTATACACATTTACACAGAGGTTCACAGAAATTGTCTCAGTCAAGAAAAGAAACCAGCTATCAGCTGCTGTCCTTGTGACAAGGTCATCTGGGAGCATCTTATACAAAAACCAATTCATAAAACAGATAAATCCGTGTATCATTCGATCATTCGTTTTTTTATTTAATATTGAAAGTAGAAAAATTAGAAAAAGGCTCCTTTTTCGTTTTCCCGTTTTTTTGCAAAACAGGAAAAACGAGAATTCAGCTTAAATGTTTGTTTTTCGTTCATGGGTGGAAAAATGAATAAAGAGCTTGAATATTCGATTTCTACACGTGGGCGGGAATTAAACGCCCCTTTCTGCTGATTGGTCAGCCGAAGATCAAACCGTGCCTTCATCAGTTCTTCCGCAGTATCACGCAGCAGAATAATAGTCCTCCACTGCTGCAGTTATTCGGATTAATAACACATTTTATCAGTTTCATATTTTTCTCATCAAACAGACTAATGAATAGCTCGACACAAGTTCGTCAACATCTGGCTCAGTCGCGGGCTGAGTTGGTTACAACAGAACGTCGTGCATAATTCCTGTTTCTGAATCATCTTCGTATGAAATGGGCGAATAGCCAGGTAGCTAACATGCTAGTTCCAGCTAGCGACTGCGAACGCAAACAAACACATAATAGACGTGTTTCCGGACACCAGTTAGATATATCTATAGAAAAAAAACACCAGGTATGAGCAATAAGAGGCGGTGTTTTCATTTTACCTCGCTTTGCTCTAGGTGAACTCTTCTTGCTCAGGTTGCTAGTCCTTTCTTCCTCTAATGCAGCTGCTATCTCAGGATTGTCTTCCCCATTGTACCACACGAGAAGTTCTTCGTCCGGTCCGATTGGCTGATGGGGAGTACACGGACCAATCAGAGTCGAGCTTTTTGGAATGCCATAGAATGAAATACTATCTAGGCCTTGACGCTCTGTCAGGCATTTAGAAACAGACCCCCATAACAAACTAGGGTACAGTATCAGACAGCTCCTTTAAGGGAATGGGAATTTGATAACATTTAAGTTACGTTAAAGATGCTTTGTTCATCTATCAACTACCACATACGTAGAAAAAGTGTTTAAAAAAATGACATTTTTAATTTGTACTGCTAAATTCAGAAACTATTTCACAAAAGTTTAATATGCATACATTTAAGCAATATTTACGATCATTCTATACAAGTCCCATACATATTACTACTTTTCAAAGTTCCATGAAACTAAAATCCGAGTTTCGTTGTATTTAGTCCATTATCTTTGAGTGCATTTATATACTAGTACAGGGGGTTTCAAACTGGGACCCTGAGGGGGCTGCAATTTTTTTAAAACAAAATCACAATACAATCATGAGATTTATTCTATTAACAGCCCCTTTTAAACAGTAAGAAATACATTTATATAAGGTTATAATTTATACAGGTTTATATAAGCATACATAAAGTTGTAGGCTATAAGTGCATTTTTCCTTCTTTGCAATGTACATACTTTCAAGAACAGTTTTTACTTGTTGCCTCTTGCTTGCTCAGTGGTGGCTCAATAGCAACATTCTCATTCATATTTAACAACACTTAACTGTGAAAAGCACAAAATAGGGAAATGTAACTGAATATAGTTCTTAGGGCTGCACGATTATGACAAAAATCATAATTGTCGATTATTCCCTTGAAATTGTAATTGTGATTATTAATTACGATTATTACAATTTACATTGAATGACATCTTCATACCATTGTTTGATGCAACTGCATGCAGTATTTTTATATGAAAATAAACAAGCTGAAAACACTAACTGAAAAACCTTTAGTGCTTTTCTATAGTATTAAGCCTCAAATGTCAAATATACATCGGATTGGTTTCTTCTTTAAATTATTATTATTAAGTAAAAATATGAATGGTATTATAATGTTATACTAAAACTAAAACAATGGAAAAACCCTTAAGATAGCATGTAGAAAGAAAACAAACATACCTTGAGCACACAGAATAACATAAGTGGACTTTGAACGATTACGTAATTGTGGCATCCATAATTGTAATTGCGATTAGAAATTAGATTAATTGTGCAGCCCTAGTAGTTCTCTTTCCGCTACACATCTAATATTAATAGTGGTAGAAAAAAAAACTAAAGTTGATACTAGCTAACTTTAAAAAATGCATTTGCTTTAATACACTGAGCTAATTATTTAAAGCTAATTATTTAATCATTTCATGTTTTTTATGCTTTTAAAATAAGTATCTTAAGCTCTCCAAGGCAGTTATTTGATTTGATTAAAAAGTACAGTAAGACATGAATAGTGAAATATAATTCAAATTTAAAATAACTGTTTTCTATTGTAATATATTTTAAAATGTAAAGTATTCCTGTGATACAAAGCTGAATTCTCATCAGCATCATTACTCCAGTCTTCAGCGTCCCATGATCCTTCAGAAATCATTCTAATATGCTGATTTATTATCCGAATATGCTCAAGAACAATTTCTTCTTCTTATTATCAATAAGAAAACAGTTTTGATGGATTTTTTGATGAATAGAAAGTTCAAAGGTTCCCAGAAATCTTTTGCGATAATGTAAAGTTGTTACTGTCAAATTTTTTATGTCAATTTAACGCATCTATGCTGAATAAAGGTATTGATTTCTTTAAAAAAAAAAAAAAAAAAGTCTTACTGAACCCAAACTTTTGAGTAGTACAGCCGATTAGTATTTTAGGAAAAGTGTACCCTGCGAGGGAATCATATTATTATGGGGGTCCGCCACATATAAAAGTTTGAAAACTCCTTTACTAGCGAACCACTCCGCCGTATGCATCTCCTCCAGGCTCTTTGCAGTCATAACCTAACATAGCCAAACTCAAACCAATTCATCACATCTTAAAGGTTAACCTACCCTTAACACTTTGTAGTAAATAGCTCTGTTGATCTCCAGTGGAAAGAGGTTTTGCTCTTGAGAAGAGCATGCCCAGTTCACATACCGCAACCAGTTTCCTTTCATTGGATCCGTGGCGTCTACACACATCCACCCCGAGGCTGGAAAATATACCTAATGATAATGAAACAAAATGCATTTAATTAAGGACCACTGCTATTCCGAAGTTTAGGGTTGTTGTTTTTACGGTATTTTTGAATACCGCAAATAAAAGCAGACTTGGTGAGCATAAGAGTCTTTTTCATAAACATTCAAATCTTACAAGACCCCAAATTCTTGAACAGTAGTGTATATTGGTCCAAACAAGCTTTGTGTTCATCAGTGTATTCAGACTTCTAGTCAGGCAGAACTAGAGTTTCCAGTGTGTGGTGTCTAATACGTACCTCCCACATGTAAACATTGCTCGTCACTTGAGATCTCTTCTTTCGTTCTCCCACAAATGGTCCAAACCTTTTGCCTTTAGGTATTAATCTAGATGCCCAGACACCTATAGAAAGACATGGGACAGCATGAGAAATCTTATGTAAGCAAACATTGCAAACACAAACTTTATTGTCTTCTCTATACATTCTTTTTTTTTCTTGATGGGTTTTTGAGCTTGAATCCTCAATCAGAATGAGCCACTTTAAGATCTCCAGAGACACTCTCAGAGAGCCATTTTTGAAGCATATTCGATATTAATCATTTATCTGTGTATTTCTAGGGCACCACCACAGCGTGCTGCGCATTCTCGATTTCAAACATCAAACAAAATAAGATTTGGAACATGTCATAGGCTTTCATCAAGCATAAAATACTAATGAATATTAATGCTAATAATGAACACACAACTTCTCGTTAACAGAGTCATTTACAAGTGCTCAACCATGCTGTTGCTCACCAATGCGATTGGGGTTGACAGCTGATGGTCCCAGCTTCATGCTGTTTGGCAGCCCCTTCCACACATGGGCTGGGATGTCATCCAAGGTTTCATATGTTCCTTGAGGCAAAGCCATTACAGGCTCAAAAAGGGGGGGGGGGACTTTACAGTTTACAATGTGTTCCTTAACTCTATAAACATATGTAAGCAGTGCTCATGGTACTTGCTTTTAGAGCAAAAGTATGAACTTTTCAGGGAAAAAAGCATTTAGCCTAAATGATATTAAAAAATAAATAGTTTCACCATACCTGCACCAAGCATTTAACACTCAACTGTACTTTGAGACTCCTAAGACCTTTCTTATTTCATGGATTCTGTAAAACAGAAAATAGGAGCAGTTATTTTCACCACGTAGAACAAAATAATCCTCTATGTTTATGATGCAGGATGGGACTTGCTCTCAAGCAATCCCTAAGGCTGAAAGCATGAAAAGACCATTTCAAGGTATGCTTAAAACCGCAAATACTCCTTCAGTAAACTCAAAGTCTCTGATATTTGCACTATGGTTTGAAAGTTTGGCATCAAGTTTTTTTTTTTTTTAAATCAATTCAGCAATGATGCATTACTTTTTTAGAAGTGAGAGTAAAATCTTTTAAATAGTTACAAAATATTTATATTTCAAATAAATGCTGTTCATCGTTCTATTCATCAAAGAATACTGAAACAGATGAATCATGGTTTCCACAGAAAATACTGAACCGTTTTTAACGTTGATAATAAGAAAGCATGTTTCTTAAGCACCAAATCAGCATTAGAATGATTGAATATCTGCTGAAAATTCAGCCATCACAGATATAAATCACATTTTAAAATATATTAAAAATAGTTCTTTTAAAATGCAATACTATTTTACAATATTACTGTTTTAAAAGTTTTTTGAGCAAACAGCTGCAGCCTTAGCAAGCATAAGAAATTGTAAATAACATTAAAATAACAAAAACAAATCTTAACCCAATCTTAACCCCAAACTTTTCAATGGCAGCGTTTTTAATTACAACATAATTCATTCAGTAAATTCGTCAAACAAATGATCAAGTTGCTTTTCTAGCATCTTAACTTCTGAGAGGTTTTAGTAAGTGAAGAGGAGCCAACTTCAAGGTGTTTTTCAAACCAAATTGTGTTCTAACAGGTGTAGTTAGACTATAAACAGTATCTATTACAGGAGACCTCACCGACATTACACGTGTAATTAACCCAGCCTCACCTAATATCCAATCAACCACCTGAGAAATAGCCCTCAAAACACACATTATTTAGTCAGGCATACAGGTGATAATCCTACAGATTTAGACAAATGATGATGCGTTTTGTTGTGGGTCTGCAGAGAATTCTTCTCATAGCATAAGAATAGAGCAATAACCAGAGCTGACAGGACGGTAAGTAGAACATTGTCATCAGGTTTGGATGACAGCTACAGAGAATAAGAGGAAATGGAGAAAACAGCATGACACACAAGGGGCCTCTCTGATGTGACACTGTTACATAAGCGTGGAGGTCGGAGACAGATTCTCGGCTTCCGCTGGAGCATGCAAACCCAACACAACAGAAAGTGTGTTAAAACATGCTTTTGGAATCAAATTCAAATATCAAATTCAAACTGTTTTTGTCAGGATGGATGCTTGCAGAAATAATTCATGGCATCATTACACTCAAATCTCAGTCGTGAATAAAAATAGATGTGATTTCTAATTGGCAGAAGCCTACGTGTGTGTCATACAGCCACAAAAAGATCCTTTCTCTCAGTCAGTAATAGTATTTGCGCTCAAGTGCAGTGTAGCCATTAAGGATTCATTCTTTTATCTTGTCAGTAAAAAAGTATTAGGCTGCAGCAGTGACCTCCTCTGAAGTCATCGTCTCATAAATGTGTGGAATAACTTTATAATGAAAAACTTAATATAACTTTTGGCACCAGCATTTTATTTAATCAATTTAACTCTACTCAGTAATTTTAATCTAACATTAAGATGGCTCTTTTTTGTCCCAGTATTTCCTAATCTAAATAAACCTGGCTTTGTATATTATGAATATCGTTGGCTCCTTGACGACTTACCTTGCTTTAGTTCCACTTTTGCAACTCATTTAGCATAAAAGCATTTGCTAAATGCATAAATGCCAAGCATAAACGACACCCATTGGCCTGGATGCATGAGGTTTGCTTCCTAACTGATGCAATGCAAGCTGTTTGTTTTGTTCCTTCTCATCTATGCTCAAGCTACACACACACACATACTTAATGTGTTTTATTACACAAGTCTATATGAATTTAATCTAAAAAAAAATTATGTTGTTACTTAAGCTTCATAAAGCACACTGAGCACTGAAAGCACTATATAATTTATATGTTTGCTGTTACTTTTAAATAATTTTTATGTAAACAAAAAACAGATAATGCTGCACTAAACAATACAATTGCACACACACACACAAAAACAATAAAAATTTAACAAAACAAAATGGAGAGATACCATCATAATGGCTTAAAAATGTATTATTCTTAACATATTCCAACATGGCAGCGTCCATGAGGGTGCGACCCACTCTACGTAAAAAAACATACAAAACTGATATGATTTCAGTCCGTCTCATGTGAAAAAATACATTTCTCAAAAGTGTTTTTAATTTCCTTACGTTTACTTTTTTATTTAGTAAAAAATTGCTGAGTGCACCTTTAAGTTCACTTCAGTAGTTACCAATAATTTCATCTGGACACCCTCCACTATCCTACTGTGTTTATTGTATTTTAACACGTTTTCTTTCAACTATATGTAAGAATACGAAAAGGATTGTTTGAGAGGCAGGAGCATGAATAAATCCAGAGATGAATGAGAAGTATTGCATTGTGTCATCTTTGTTAATAACAGACGGTGACTGTGGGACAAAGAAAGAAGGCGTTTCAGCAGCCACAGCAGAAGATGCTTCAACTAACAGCCAAAAAGTTTCACAATTCTTCAAAGAAACAACAGCAAAAACTTACGGTATATTTGGAGGTGGAGTTTTATGCACCGACACACAATGCTTCTATGCTCCCAGCATAATTATAATAAACCGGAATCAAAAGAAATCGCAAAACAAGCACGGGTGGTATGCAAAATAGATGTAAAATGTCTCCTTGTGCTTCAAATATCGTCATGGAAACCAGATGCTGTTAATTCGTGAATTAACCCAGATTGTGCAAAACTGCTCAGGTTGTAGCCTATATCCCGACTTTCAGGCAAACAAACACACACCGCGCTTAAAACACACTTCTCATAGTCACATTTTCGCTCTAGGCATCTTCTATGAGAGAAAAAGTTCTCCAGCATGTTTCACCAGAGCCCTCGAGCTGCTTTGTAGACTGGCAGGACAAACAGATTGTATTGTTATCATCAATCCGAGCACTCAGAAGTGCACAAACCCGATGCAGCTCACTCCGAGCAAGTGTCCTCCTGCTTTCCAAGCCATTCAGTGCAGCGTTGCAAAGGCTTGATTGAAATAAAAATGTGAGCATGGTGTTCTTTGAACACTTACCTGTTGTTTTCACCGGCACAGTGTAGTTTTTGGTCTACCTGCTTTCCAGTGTGCTGAAAATGGCGGATGGAGACTAGAGCTTATAGAGCTTCTCCAGTGTAACTGGTCGGTGGGGTCGCAGATTTGGGAGAGGCACACGACCATCACGATGGGCCATTGGTGAAAGTAAAGCTGGACCATCACAAATCAGCTCATTCAAAGGGACATATAATACCAAAATGTGCCTTATTAGCTTGGTTTACCTAATGTGTTCAGTTGTACACTTTGCGTAGAGGAGACTGGAGCTGATTGACATTTTTTTCCTCCAGTGAATATTTCTGGGGATGAGTTTATTTTTGTCCGTTTCTAAGTCTTAGCTCAAGAAGAAGAAGAAAAAAGCTATTTAATGTTTTCACATTTATTGCCCAGGAAAAAAAGACTTGCTGAGTTTTCGGAGACAACAAAAATGCCCCACTAGTTATGGTCAACAAATATTGTAATAAAAATTGGCCCAGTGTTTATGAAAAATGTCTGAGAGCACTGTTAATTTCAGTTTTTTTTAAAAATATTTTTAAATAGAGTTTGCCGTTTTATTGTGTTCGCTTTTTATTCAACGATTACAGCAAAATGGTATTTCATTTTTAATTTGGAGGATCTTAAATTAAAATTTAAAAAATTTAAAAATCACAAACGTACTCTACTTCATCAGGATATTTGGACTCATTTAAAAATGTCAGATTTTTGACTCAAAACCTTACAAGACCTTGTGACAGCATTCCCAAAATTATAGGCTAAATGTAGGCTAGTTAATATAATATATAGTCTTATTGAAGAGAAATGTCAACAAAGATGAACCTGGTATATAGCACGTTTGAGAGATGATCAGATCATAAACATAATCCAGATTGTCCTATGCTGTGTAATGACACTCATCAAGACTATTGCTTTTTTATTCGGCCTGTACAGTAGCTCTGACCTGTCTTTTCTTGCATTTTAAAGTAAGAAAATATTCTGTTTAGAATGCAGAAATTGCACTCAATATCAGATTATGAACATATATTAGATATAAGAAAAAGGGTGTTATAAAATAATGCAACATGACGTGTCATATTTGAAGTGGATAATGCCATAAAAAAGGGATCAAATATACAAGTGTAACATGATAAATAACTTATAAAGTAGGTAAAGAACTAATCTGATGTGTCCTCAAAATGCACAGTTTCTCTAACTGGACTAATCCCAAATAACTGGTCTAAAGGCTTGTAGTAATTTCGGCCACTAGGGGGCACTGCAGATATCAGTCCTTAGATTGAGTTTGATGCATTTGAATCTATCTCTTATGTTCAGATCTAAAGATGTATTGGGACAGAGAGAAAATTATCTGCTTGCTTTAAATGTTTATTAAATAATAAGAACAGAATTTAAATATTTTAGGATAATTTAACACCCTGACCGATAAAAATGCATAGAGGTCTTCCTCCATTCTCAGAGAGAGCTGTCAACACCTGTAAACCCCTTCTGTGTCTGGCCACATGCTTACAATAGTCCACATCCCAAATAAATCCAGGCCCAGCGTTTCCTCTCATAAGTCTCATGTGTTATGATGTGGAGAGTGAGACATCTGCCTCTCAGAGTGATGCATGTTCCACATATGGACGTATTTTCTCTGCTTGACCCATCAACCATTCATTGTGAACATCCTGCACAACATGTGCTAAACACACTTGTATATACTAAACATGTCCTCAGAGACACCCACAGCTACACCAGTAACATATGAGGTGTCTGCATTTATTTGCATACTTTATTTATTTA